CCTACTATCTCCAATTTTATCTTCTCTGAACTTGTAATTTGATCCAGTTCATTCATAATCCATCTTAAGAGCAGAGCTTAGTTGTTTAGAACATCTTTTTCTATAAAAACACTTGCTAGGGAATCCAGTTTGCCTTGAAATAAATCTTCAAATAAAAGTCAATCCCCCTCCCCTCCAAACTAAGAATTATTAAAAAATCTAAGTGAATTTCCCCCAATCAAAATTTGAGATAAATTGGTCAAGGGGTTCATGAGTTATGATCGGACATACAACCAAATAGACAGACAAACAGAGATTACTACGTTATATAAATAGAAGGGTCAGTAACTTTAAAAATAGGGGAATCTGCTAAACCTATCTATGTCATTCGTAAAATAAAGGGTCATTTGAAATTACGTCTGCAGTTCCTTTCAGATTCACTCTATATAACATAGGCTAAAAAAATTCAAATTTATTTTTCAAAATCCAACTTTTTTTTTCAAAAATCGATTTTTTTTCAAAATTGAAAAATTTCCACGGGCTTGGGCACCTCAGCTAGTTCCAGATAAATTCACTAATTTAATACCAACTTTACCACCATCTAAAATCTGAATATACTGTTTATAAACAACTTTTTTTGAATTGATTTTGATTTTACAAAACCTAATAAAAACTTTTCAGAAATATATTTTTCTGCTGAAATGTATTAATCCAACACATTCTCATAGGTAAATATATTGGGATAGATTCTATTTCCTTATGTTCCTTGTACTTTTTATATCTGAATATATAATATTTCGTTAATTTTATGGAAATTTTTTAATAAAGTGTTATTTGGGGTGTTTTTTTAAACTGTTTTTTAACCCAGACCTGCTACATGATATTTGTTTTGTTCATTAATATTTTATTACAAAGCATAAGATATTACAAATAAGCAATCACAATTTACTATGCATTTTGGACCCGCCTAACCAGGGTTGGTTGTTATAAGTGGTGGTAAACTTCAATTTTTATAAAACTTAAATATTTTGGTGACTTTAACTTTCTTTAAATTGGTTATTTTGGGATATAATCTAGTGACAAGCTTGTAAACTAAATATTCTAGTTTCAACTAAATAATATTTATTGTTTTTTGGACAAAATGCTTCTTAGAGGGTAAAAGTAAAAAAATGGTTTAACAAATGCATTCATATGTGTACTGTGTAGTGAAGAAGCAAATTTAATTAATTTGAGCTGGATCACTGAACCACCTACCATCGGTTTAAATCTTGAATCCCCGATTCAAAGATAAAGATTCATGAAGGTTTGAATCTGCCATTCTGGATTGAAACGACTGTAGATAGTTCAGAGACCTCTCTAATTAACACCAAAGTTTTACAACAACAACTTTATATTGAAAAAAGTAAAATTGTTAAAGAAAATTTGTAACGATTTTTTTTACAGGCTCATCATGTGGTGGACTACACACATAGAGGTCAGAAAACGCATGAAGAAAAATGGATACTTATTGTATAGCAAGATTTAATAAATTGAATTTACTTATGATTTTCATACAAATATATAAAAAGTAACAAAAATCTTACAAAAATCTTACAAAAATCTTACAAAAATTAATTAGTTAATGAATAAATCAACTAAATAATGAATCAATTAACTAGTTAATGAATTAATCAACTATATAGTAAATTAACAAACTAGTTAATGAATTAATTAACTAGTTAATGAATTGATTAACTAGTTAATGAATTAATCAACTAGTAAATGATTTAATCAACTAGTTAATGAATTTATCAACTAGTCAATAAATTAATCAACTAGTTAATGATTTAATCAACTATATAATAAATTAACCAACTAGTTAATGAATTAATCAACTAGTTAATGAATTAATCAACTAGTTAATGAATTAATCAACTTGTTAATGAATTAATCAACTTTTTAAGGAATTAATTTATTAATTAATGGTTTGTTTAATTAAGGGGGGCCCGCGTAGAGTTAATCATGCAGCGGTTGCTGTCGGAGATAAAATATTCTCATTTGGAGGTAAAAAAATAGAAAAAAAGAAAACCGTTGATTTATAACACACAAAAATTTAAATGGCATTAGGATTAGTAGATGCTAAAGATTGGTTACTTTTTTAGATTTCCATATTTTTATAAATTTCAAAAATTAATTTGGGACAATCTATTTTTTGGGTTTTGAACTCAGAGTCCAACTGGTGCATTTCCCCAGATTTTTGTTTTGTTCATCTTTGAATATTTTAGAAAATGAAATTATGATATTTAGGATATTGTACAGGAGATAATTACAGGGATTGGAGACCCATCGATATATTTGTTCTGAACACATTAAACTTTAGATGGTCAGAGGTTCCAAAACCGGTAAATAGGACAGGACAGGACAGGACAGGACAGGACAGGACAGGACCAAAATGGAATAGACAGGACTTATTGACTTTATTTTTTTATTTTTATTGACATGTTTATTTTTCCAGGCTCCTGGAGAACAATTACTACAAAGAATTCCCTTTCAAAGATACGGACACACTGTCATAGCTTTCGGCGATTATATTTACCTTTTCGGCGGCCGGAATGACGAATCTGCCTGCAACGTTTTGTATCAGTTTGATACCAATACCTACCAGTGGAGTGCTCCAACTGGTAAATTCTTTTAATGTAAAATATAATGGTAAAAAAGGCTGAACCGATTCGGGCCAAATTTTTTTTGGCAACTCACAATCGCAAATCATTGTTTTTGAAAAAGCGCCAAAATATGAGAATAAATATAAATATAAATATATTTCAGAGTTACAGCTAAAAGCTAAAATTAGTAAATGTTGAATAACAAATGTGCATTTGCCAGAATTTGTGGCTTTCACAACCTTAGAGTATTGTCTCAGGAATTATAATGAACAGTAAACAAAATCCTTTAAAATTCTATCTAAGAAATGATGGTAAAGAATGCTCCATATCGATATATTTTTTTCAAAAAAAAAACAATACATATCTTTAATACTTATCTGTCTATTTTTTTATCTATTTATCTATTCATCTATTTATCTATTTATCTATTTATCCATTTATCTGTCTATCTATTTATCTATTTATCTATTCATCTATTCGTCTATTTATCTATCTATTAGTTAATCTATGTGTCAACCCGTCTGTCCATCCATTTATCGATCAATTAAAGCATCCAATTATAAATCTATCTATCTGTCTGTCTATCTATTAAACCATATATCTACATTCTACATCCATCTATCTATCTATCTATTTATCTGTTTATCTATTAAACCATATATCTACATCCATCCATCTATCTATCTATCTATCTATCTATCTGTCTATCTATTAAACCATATATCTACATCCATCCATCTATCTATCTATCTATCTGTCTATCTATTAAACCATATATCTACATCCATCCATCTATCTATCTATCTGTCTGTCTATCTATTAAACCATATATCTACATCCATCCATCCATCTATCTATCTGTCAATCTATTAAACCATATATCTACATCCATCCATCTATCTATCGGTCACTGACCCAAATATTTCCGATAAGGGGTATAGCGGGTTCATTAGTGGGGGAAGGGAATCATAATAGATAGATAGATCGATAGATCGATCGATTGATCAATTAACCCATTCATCTATCTATTTAACTATCTAACCCCTGGTATTTAGTCCATGGAGATATCCCGGCGGAAAGGGATGGGCACAGTGCCTGCGTGATCGGGAACTATATGTACGTCTTCGGGGGGTACGAGGAGATGATCGAGAGGTAGGGATTAATGGAATCATTATTGATTGATTGATCTTTACTAGTTATTGATAAATTGATTTTTACTCATTTGTTAATTGATTGATTGATCAATTGAAGTAGTGAAGTAAAAATTGAGTCAACAAATGATTAATATTTTTGTGAATTATTTATTGATTCATAGGATAAATGAGTGAATAATTAATTAAGTGAATGAATGATAAATTAATTTATTGAAGGATTAAATAATTAACTTAATGAGTGAGTAAATAAGTGAGTGAATGATTAATTCATAATTGTGTGAATTATTTCTTGATTAAGTAAATAATAAGTGATTGATTAATTGACAGAGTGAATGAATAATTGGCTGCTAATGTTGGTTTTTGAATAATTAATAAGCTTTTTTGTGATATTGATTGATTGATTGATTGATTGATTGATTGATTGATTGATTGATTAGGTACGGGCAGGATGTGTACAGACTGGATTTGAAAACATTTGCATGGAAGCTTTTGGTAAACAAACCTAAAAATCATTTTTACGCTTTCTAACAATTTAGATATTTTGGTAGTATTTCAAATTATTTAGATAAATTGGGGAGCAATTAAATTTTTTTAAAAGTTTTTCAGCATTTTTGAGTTTTTAAATTTAGATTTGTTTTACCATTCAAAATATTGTTTAGATGTGTCAAGGAGATCCGCCGGTTCAACGAGATTTTCACTCAGCGACGGCGATCGGCGGTAACATGTTCATTTTCGGCGGTAGATCAGATCTGACCGGGATAGGAATGGGCCCCGATTTCTATTCAAATAAAGTAAAAATTTAATGAACTATTTGTTATTTAAATGTAGAACATATTTTATTTATTTAAAGCTATCTATCTTATTTATCTATCTGTGTGCTATCTGTCTACATTTTTATCTACTTAGGTGTGCTATTTATTTATCTATCTATCTAGGTGTGTTATTTATTTATCTATCTATCTAGGTGTGCTATTTATTTATCTATCTATCTAGGTGTGCTATCTATTTATCTATCTATCTAGGTGTGCTATCTATATAAATATCTATCCAGGTGTGCTATCTACTTATAGATCTATCTAGGTATGCTATCTACTTATCTATCTATCTAGGTGTACTATCTATTTATCTATCTATCTAGGTGTGCTATCTATTTATCTATCTATCTAGATATGCTATCTATATAAATATATCTATCTAGGTGTGCAATGTATATAAATATATCTATCTAGGTGTGCTATCGATCTATTTATCCAGTGCTATCTATCTACCTGTATCTATCTATCTATCTGTATCTATCTATCTAGGTGTGCTATCTGGATACCCAGACGTTAACCTGGCATAACCCTGCACTAGGCAAACAATTGCAAAAATTAAATTTATTAATTATGATAAGAAAGAATGTTTTTCAAAAAGAAGGATAAACGGGAAATGATAAAAATCACGAAATTTCCATGAAACTTGAAAAGTAAACTGGGTTGAATGAGCTGAAAACTTTTAAATGATCAAAACTAATCTTATTTGAGAGAATAGACAAGTTTATCTCATATTGATCCAACCAGCGATTATCGGACAAATGAGAGATAAGCTTTTTTTCTCCTCACATTTAAAGTCCAGTCTTTAGTTTTTTATGTGTTACCTCTCTCCTGCTGGTTTAATTTAAATCGTCGATAACATTTGAATATTCTTATATATTCCCGGAGTAAAAACTTAAATACTTACATTTAAAAGTTTAATGCTGTGTTTATCGATTATCGAGTTCAATCGAACTAAACTTTAAATTTGACCTGCTTCAATCTCAATTCTTCTCAACATGCATGACCGGAGCAGGGATATTCATAACCCCGGTCATAGGGTACAATTACACTTCGGATATTGAACTAAGATTAAATAAATCTGCAGATAAACAACCGATCGTGACCCTTCATGTAAAGTTAGCAATGTCCGATTTACAACGGTACCCTAAACAGCTTTGTCTGATCAAATATAAATTAGATTTCCATGTGGTTCTTTGGTTTTAAGGATACCGTTCTATCTAGGGCATTGCTATCTTTGCATGGAGAGTTACTTGAAATTACGCTTACAGTCACTTTAGTTTTAAAATTTCGCCTGTTTGTAGAGCAAGGTTGTCATCCGCCGTGTGGTCGGCGGTCTCACAGTGCTCTCAACCTAGACGGTCGTCTTCTAATATTCGGTGGTTACAACGGGTAAATGACTTATGATTTTTGGTGAAAATCATCATCATTGAAACCAAAAAAAACACCAGAGACCCACCAGATTTTTATTCAGATTTTCCCAAACTTTCTTTTGAGACCTTAGACGGATATTTTATTCTTTTCATCATTTAAAGTTTATACAATTGTTATCCCTATTTTGCCAATCTGTTTATTTATTTATCTATATAAAGCTCTTTGCTCATATATAAATATATATTTGTATGTATGTGTATACGTATGTTTTTTTTTAAATTCGAATTTTTTTTTCAAAATTAGATTTTTTATTCAAAATTTAATTTTTTATTCCACTGGCAACGCCGGGCACTTCAGCTAGTTTTCTATATATCTTTCTATCTATCTAGGAGAACTAAGGAACACATGAATGATCTATGGATCCTGGATCAGGATTCCTGGAGATGGGATCAGATAATCCCCTTCGGAGCACCAGCACCTAACCCAAGGTTCGATGTTTGATCCAATATTAGGATTATAAAGAGATAATATTAAATGTTCTTTAATTAAAATATTATTGATTTAAATTGCAATACAAAATGGAAAACAAGGGTATTACGCTTACAGTCCTTTTAATAATTATTGATTTTTATGATGTGAAATTCAATTTATTATCTAGGCGACGCCAGGCTCTATGTCGAGTTGGGTCTAAAATTTACTTGTTTGGTGGAACCTCCCCCTACAATGGACCTCCTTTATTCTTCACCCCTGAACAACTATCCATGTTACCACAACAGGTCTAAAATATATATATTGTTCAATATATATATATTGATATATTGTATCCTTTGAATCAAAGTTTACTTTTATCTATCTATAAATTTGGCTTGTCTGTTTGTATCCAATAAACGTCAAAACGGCTGAACCGAACGGGCCCAAATTTTTTGTGGCACCTCGTGTTATCCCAGAGAAGGTTTATGAATGTTAAAAATTAAAAAAAATGTGTTTTAAAGGTTTTTAATTTTGTAAAAAAATTAAATTCTTGAAAATCCGCGAATTTTTTTTTAAAAATCCGCAAAATTTGTTTCTTCTTTGTTTTTAAATGTAAAAAAAGAACATGTTCACAATTTAAATAGATTTATATTTTCCATTAATTTTTGAGATTTTTTTTCAAAAAAATATCATGTCATTAAAAAAAATAGATGCTTAACTTTTGAAACTTTCTTTTTTTTAAAGATTAACTTGATCATTTTCTTTTTATAAAAGTTTTTTTTCGAACTGGTTTTTACTCAAAAAGAAGTTACTCCATTCCCCCAGACCGTCCTTCTCGTGTTAATGTACTCTCCCTTAGATTCATCTATGTAAATAATTAAGCTCAGGTCGCTCATATACATGTGTGTCCCAATAAACATGGGAATGCAATGACGACTTCTATATCGTCTTTGTTCCGAGCGGGATTATTTCGTAAATATAGTTTTGTTGTATCATAGTAAAAACATTTAACACCTAAACTGGTAGTCTCGGGATTTCCGAAATGTGGTCTACCATTTTTTTACCTCCAAAATTGACGGAGATATTAAAAAATTTGTTCAGATTCCATATTATACCACATTCTTATCGGATTTACTACGTAGCCAAATCCGGAATATTTCTTGTTATTGTCACCCATTTTGTGTAATAATTATGATATTCCACGAACTAAGTGACACTATCAAGAATTATTCACCGCGAACTTGATAGATAGATAGATCCACGAACTAAGTGACAATATCAAGAATTATTCACCGGGAACTTGATAGATAGATAGATCAATTTAAAATAAGAATTAACATATTAATTCTGGGAATGCGTTTAAATCCTCCAAGAATGTGGTATAATATTATTATGCGTAGGAAGCAAGTGTAAAAATCAAAATTATTCCACGGTTTTTCTTTCAATATTATAACAATAATTTTGATTATTACACTTTCTTCCTACGCATAATATATTATTATTGAAAATTTAAAAAACTGTTCAAATGTTTAATGTCTCCGCCAATTTTAAAGATACAAAGAAGGTAGACCACATTTTAGAAAACTGATTTTTGATGCATTTTTATATCATTATCAATTATCGGAAATCAACGACGATATTCAAGTCGTCTCTCAATTCCCATGTTTATTGGGACACCCTGGATAGCATACAGTGTTTATATATATATATATATATATATTCTTATATACATATATATATATATATATATAATATATATATATATGTTAGCTATAGCTGGCCAAACGGCTTGACCAAATTGGCTAAACGTTTTTGATTGAATCCATGAGTACCCTGGGGGTAACATAGGCAAAAAAATCTAAATTTTTTTTTTTAAAATTCGATAATTTAAAAAAATTTTGATAATAATAATTATTGGTGTGCACCGTGCATAGTACAGTACTTACATTGAACTACCTGCGTAGTTTTCGTTAGACAAACGTTTTGTTCTTTTAAGTAAATTAAACTTTATATATTCCAGCGAGCCACCTTAAAGGAAGAGAGCGGTAAGACTAGACATGGTAGTTCAGCTGAAAGTGCAGTATTGTAGAGAAAACTTTAGGATTCATTTGATATCAATAAGACATTTTTACGGTGTACAATTTTTAAAGAAGAGCGTAAATTCGTTTGTAATATTTTATTTTAATTCTTAAATAACATATATACAAAACATGTAAAAATTACTATTCTGCAAACTAATTGTATGTTTACAAACTGGTTGAGAAAAATAATGAACTTATATTATTGAAAATAAGTTATTAAAATCCATTTTAAAATCTCACATAAAATTTTAGAAACAGCAAAGGTAATGATGATAATTAAATAATTGAAAATGGATTTCATCGAATATTTCTTTAAAGAAATATGTTCCTAAATAGCAAATCAGTTTTTGAAATAACTAATTACACGTTTGTAAAAATTTGTAATAAACGTAAAAAAACAGATGAAATATTACACACGACTTTAGGCTCTTATTTAAAAATTGTACACCGTAAAAATGTCTCATTGGTTTTAAATGAATCCCCAAGTTTTTCTCTTCAATACTACACTTTCAGTATAAACACCATGTCTAGCCGGTCTCTCCCTTTAAGTGTATCTTATGTCTGATTAAAGGACGAGGATAACTCTACTAAATTAATGGATCACAATGACCTCTACGTTCTTGACCTCAGTCCCTCCCTCAAGACCTTGGCAATGCTGGAGGTTAAGAACAAGAATCTCAGCACAAAGGTAAATTGACCAATTCACTAAAGAACCCTTTAGACCGTTATCTGAGTCCGCGATTTAAAAAATTCGGGAAAATACGGCTCAGGACTTAGCTTTCGTTGGGCCTTATTTACGGCTTGAGCTTCCGGATATAAGCTGCATCTTATTTTCCACTGAGTTGAGTTCAAAAAACCGGTTTAATATTCTATTTGTCGGATTTTCATGGTAGGAATTGGTGCATTTCGGGTTCTTATTATAACAAGACTCAACAGTGAGTCAACATTAAGCCTTATTCTCTTCTGAAACCAACCAAAGTCGGTTTTATTTTCATTGGGCTTAACTCCTTAAGTCAAGCCGAAGATCTTGCAGCTGTCAATCACGTGACACAAGCTGTCGGCAGAGTTGGGTCTAAGATTGTGTCTTAAAGTCGGGTTTAAGGAATTACGGCTCGAGCCGAAGTTTTTAAACCTAGGGCTCTGGTATGCTTCTTTTTCTAGCTTGGAAAGTGTTGACGGTAGAAATCTACAACTCACGTTTTTTAGAAACCAAAATTGAAAATAATCAAATTTCAATAGAAGAAACGTGGATAAAATCATAAAATTTGATTTTATCAAAATTTCATCCGAAAAATCTAGTTTTTGTTGCAGATGACTCCGGAAAGATATTATGTTGTAATTTTGATATTCATATTTAGAATAATTCTGATGAAGTGGAAAGGTAGTTGAACTACTAATAACCGGATTTAATGAGTTGTAAGAAGTCGTTGAACTACTTACCGCCGGTTCGAATAGTGAATCACCGATTCACTCTCCAATACATTACCTAAACTCTCATGAATCTTAAACTTTGAATTGGCGATTCAGGATTTGAACCGGCGGTAAGTAGTTGCAACTCACTAAATCCGGTCCCTTGTGTCTTGTTCTTAAACTGAGAGAGAATTAATGCCAGTTTAGGATAATCTTCATTGAGGATGGGGAGGAAGGCCAGCCACAACAATTTCTAGTCCGAGCCACATTCTCTTCATTTTCTCGTCCGAACCACTTCTAAATCCTCGTCCTTCCAATATTATTTTTTTAAAGTGTCTAGTAAACGAAGGATGAGGTTTTCGTGGTGGTTCGGACGAGAAAATGACGAGAATGTGGCTCGGACGAGAAGTTGTTGTGGCTGGCCTTCCTCCCCTCATTGAGGTGAAGGTTGAAAGATATTCTAGACGATATTTATGGGATTCTCCATTATAGAGTGCCATGTCTGATCAACAACTGCAACCTTTAATCCTTTATCTGAGAAATGACGATATCGTCTTAAAAAGTTTAAGTTCTCACAAATTCCTCCATTGTCTCCGCAGCATGAATCCTCAAGTTGAGAATCAATTGCTAGAAACATCTCTTTCATCCTTAATCATGTAAAGGTTTAAAGGGTACGTTTGTGATTTGGACATTCACTTGAATATTTGTCTACAATACCTTTACTAAATGTTTGTATTCAGGGTCTGCCTGCCTCTATCCTACGGGAGATGTTCTATATGTCTGCCAGCAACAAGATTAGTAAACCATTGAAAACTGTCGAGAGTCTCAGCTCGGGATAGAAACCAGATTTCTAGATTGTAAAATCCGGAATACCAGATTTATCAGAATTCTAGTTTGTGAAGTCTGGAATACCAGATTTATCAGATTTCTAGTTTTTAAAATCCGGAATACCAGATTTATCAGAATTCTAGTTTGTGAAGTCTGGAATACCAGATTTATCAGAATTCCAGCTTTTGAAGTCCAGAATTCCATTTTTCTTAAGTCTGGAATATCAGTTTTGTGCAGTGCTTAGGATCCGGATCCGATTGATCCGCAAGATTTTGGCTTCCTGGATCCGGATCCAAGGGGTAAAATATCCACCAAAAACTGCAAAAAAAAACTTTTTTACTCCTAAAACCCAAATCTGAACTTTTGAAAAAAAAGAGAGGTTATAAAATTTCCTCATCTCTGAATGCTTCACCAAGTTTAAGATAAATTATGCGAAAAAAAATAAAACAAAATTTGAAAATTATTCTTTGTTAAAAAATCAGTAAATCTTAAAGAAATGACCTGGATCCGGATCCGGATTCATTTTTTTCCAGTGCGGATCCAGGATCCGGATCCGGATCCGCATCAAAATTAAATGGATTCTAAGCACTGGTTTTGGGAATCTGGAATTCAAGAACTACCAGTCCAGAATTCCAGTTTTGAAGTCTGGAATACCAGATTTATCAAAATTCCAGTTTTTGAAGTCCGGAATACCAGATTTACCAGTCCAGAGTTCAAGATTTACTTGTCCAGAATATCAGATTTTGTAGTTCGGAAAATAAATTTTTGGAGTTCGGAATATCAGATTTAGGAGACCATAATACCAGTTTTGGGAGTCGGGAATTTAAGATTTTCCTGTCCGGAATTCCAGTTTGTAACGTCTAGAATATTAATTTTGATGTCCGGAATATTTTATTTTGATGTCCGGAATATCTTATTTTGATGTCTGGAATATCTTATTTTTATGTCTGGAATATTTTATTTTGATGTCCGGAATATCTTATTTTAATGTCCGGAATATCTTATTTTAATGTCCGGAATATTTTATTTTGATGTCCGGAATATCTTATTTTGATGTCTGGAATATCTAAATTTGATTTCCAGAATATCTTATTTTAATGTCCGAAATATTTCATTTTGATGTCAGGAATATGTTATTTTGGTGTCCGGAATATCTTATTTTGATGTCCGGAATATCTTATTTTGATGTCCGGAATATCTTATTTTGATGTCCAGAACACCAGTATTGGAAGTAGGGAATTCAGATTTTTGAGTCGGGAATAAGAGTTTTTGGAATCAGGAAATAAATCTATTCAAAAACTACAATTTTATATTTTCTAAAAATATTCTTTCTTTCCAAACAAACAAACAAACAAACAAACAAGCGATCAACCATCATTTCAAACACTTAATTTAGCATTGATAAAGATATTCTATTGTTAAGGATTTTGGTCTTAAATTCCTCAAGACTATTTCAAGTTCAAAGCCTGAAAACCCAATTCAAATCAGAAATCCCAAACGAAATGTGTGAATCCAATCAAAATTTGAAATCCAATCAAAATTTGAAATTCCTAAAACAAACCTAAAATCTGAAATTTCAGTTTATATCAACACCAAACATGAAATTACAATCCAAACCAATTACGGAAATTATTCTACATCTAGGATGCATTTGATTTTTTTTTTTCTAATCAAATAACTTAACTGTCATCAATACAGACAAAAACTATTCCAAAGATTTTTTTTACAAAAAAAAACACGAAATTTCAAAATTAATCTATGTTAGATCTGAAATTTTGTTACCGAAATTAAAGATGTGAAAAGTACATTTGTTCGTTCTTTATTGATACAAACATTTTCTGGATCTTTCTAGCAAACTGTTTTATCCTAAATAGGGGATGGGGGGGGGGACATGACAACACACTGAGATTATGTGGCAATTTTAAGAACAATTTCTTTATCGAGCTGAAAAGCAACTAAAACTTTTTTAATGTTAGAATAATTATAAAATATTTAGATATGTATGGAGGGTACATTTTTTACTAAAATTGTGAAGAAGTTGATACTAAGTCAGGGGCGTATAGAGATTTTTTCTTCGGGGGTGGAAAGAAGCGCTAAAAGAAGCTTCCCCCCTCCTATGCTTTTTTCTCTTTAGTTTCAAGTATGGTGGCCCCCCCCTGTATACGCCCCTGTTCATTAATTTCAGCCACTTTTAGAAGTTATTTTTATTTGGTTTAGCTGAAATTATTAATATAACATCCCCACTTAAATCACTTTAAGTGTGAAATATTGTTAAATTGTATATATTTATATCATTATTTCATTTAATGTAATCATTTATTCATTCGTTATTATTTAATGTTATTCATTGTAATAATATGTACATTTATTCATACATTTATTCTATTGTGTATTCATTAAACATTTATTCATTCTTATTATTGATTTTTTTGTAATTTGGAAAACTGACGTGAAAAAACATCAACTTCAAGTAAATCTTGCTGCTCTATGGTATTCCTGGGCCAGAATTATCTATAATGTTAAAAAAAACTGGCTCTGTCACAAATCCGCGAAATTTTCGATCAACCTGATTTTTTTATTGACAAAATATCGATGATGCTGGTTATCAGGAACTATCAGGAACATGATTGCGCGATGAACAGGCTTGGCTGAGTTACTAATTTCGAAAATAGAGATATCATGCGAATTTTCAGATTGGGTAACAGTCCCTTTTTGGGTTGCTATTAGCTTTATTAAACCGAATTCCCCCCCCCCTCTCTGTTAAATAAAAACAGCAAATGGTGATTTGACTTAGATGGGTTCGATACCGGTTTATATCTAAAAGTATTACCAAAATAAATCATTTCTCGAAGGGGGGGGGGGTTAATTTTTGAATTTTAATTTTTAAAAGTATTGATGTGCCGTGTGCTTATTTAAAATATGCATTATGAAATATATATTTATATTATATTTTGTATTTAAACATCCTTTTTTAATTCTCTCGGTGAGTGGTCGTCTTTCGCTTAAACCAATTTATAATTATACCAATAAATTAACTTATTTCAGAGAAAGAAATATGTCTGCTTGGAATTATTTACTGTGATTCAAGGCATCGTGTTTCTAGTGGAATTCACAATTCAAGGTAATACGGTAATTAAGAGACTTTACAGTTTGCACGTAATTTTAACTTTAGAATAAATCCAGTTACAAAAAAAAGATTGACAACGGTAGCCTTTAAGCTTTTTAAATATTCATTTTTTTAAACCTTAAAGTAGATTAATTTTAATTGTTTAGAACTTAAGAAGGAAAATGTCGGAAATTGTAAGAATTTAACACTTTTAAAACATTTAGGAATTATCAGAATTAAACACTTTTTTAACTGAAAAGTTGATGTTAGGTTCCTGAGTGCAGTGCAGTGCAGTGCAGTGCAGTGCAGTGCAGTGCAGTGCAGAGCAGATTAAATGTTTAAATGTCACCGTTGCGTAAATCAGACATGTCCTCATAGATCAAACTCAACTAAGCTTTCGGTGTGTACTGCAGGGACTTGCAGTACACTGAGCAAAGAAATAGTTGGTTTAAGTGGAGAGTGAAATGTAGGGTCACTTGAAATGACGCCTACGTTTAATATTTTTAAAGAGGCTGTTAGCTTAATTTCAAGTGACCCTTCATGCAAAGATGGCAATTTCTGGTGTACAACGGTACCCTTGAAGCCTTTATCTGATCAATAGTATGGAAGATTTTGTCGGTTTTCAAGGTTTTAAAAATGTTTAATGTTGATCATTCCTATGTTTGTTTTCCTGAATTAGAAATGCGCAAGTCACTTTTGTAGCGAAACCACAGTTAGAAATAACAGTTTTCTAAATTATAAATATTGATATCTATTCATACTTAATCAGACTAAGGTTTTAAGGGTACCGTTGTTAATCTGACATTGTCATCTTTGCATGGAGGGTCACTTAAATACACGCTTACAGTACCTTTAAGGACTAAAAAAATCCATTTATAATTTCTTAAACAGTTAGTAATTATTGTCCAATTTTTCCAAAACAATGTTGTCTTTTAAAGTGTGTCCCATATAACATTATGGTTAAAACGACATTTGAAATGATTAATTGAAAGGGCTGCATGCAATTATTACTCAGATTTTGTAAGAAACGGCTTTTGTTAAGTACTGTAAGAGTAATTTCAAGTGACCCTCCATGTAATGATGGTAATTTTCAATTCACATCAGTACCCTTGAAAGCTTTGTCTGATCAATTATCAGTTTTCAAAATTATAAACATTGGTATCAAATTCATACTTGATCAGACAAAGCCTTGAAGGTTGCCGTTGTGAATCTGGCATCGTCATCTTTGCATGGAGGATCACTTGAAATTACGCAGCTTGCAGTCCCTTTAATCTGAGGGATATCTATCCTATACGCAAGTGCAATAAGTGTTTAGGTTTAGTAGCAAACACATATATATTTCGACGCTTTACCTTTAGATAAGTGATTATGCAGTGTTTGCATTCTGCAGGGGTTTTATGGGGGGCTGTGGGGGTTGAGCCCCCCTCCGCCTGGAAAGTTAAAAAAGGTTAAGTCCTCTCAGTTCCACCCTAGATCAATTCCTGTGTAATAAAAGAAACATGATGAACATAAGTCGGAATTAATGAAGAAAGTAAAAATCCAAATTTGAATGTCAATTAAAATATTATTTCATAGCTTGGGAACCCAGCGTTGCCCAGGTTACTCATAGTTACTCCCGCCATTTACCCGCACTTGGTCACAAATTACGATTTTAGCTATTATTACTTAACTTAGAATTTCAAAACCAAGCCAGGAACATTACCATGGCTCACCCGAGTTTGCCAATCAAAATTTGAGGCAATCGGTCTAGGGGTTTCTGAGTTTTGATCAGACAAACAAACAGACAGACACCTAGACAGAAATTACAACTTCATATATATATAATTAAATTAATATTTGAAAAAATCTAAATTTTTACTTTTAGATGGATTTGTTGTCGAGTGCCGTTATCGTCGACAAAAATGGAAGAAGATGTGATATTAAAGATATTCTGAAGGTAATGAAATTGAAATAGCAACGGGTTGTGGGGGAGGAGACAACCCCCCCCCCCCCCGGGGTTATCACTAAAGCTTTTAAAATCGAAATTTCTAAAGCAAAAAAAAACGAGTTTAGTGGTTTAATTTTCCAGATGAAATTACAAATTTAGCCTTTCTTTTAGAATAAGATTTAACGGGCATTGTTTCGAATGGTATTTGCTATTTTTCTTAAGGGTTCCTTTAAGTCTTTATATATATCTCTTATCGCAGGATAAGGTAGGTGTGGCCCTTTATTTCTCCGCCCATTGGTGTCCCCCATGCCGTGCCTTTACACCACGCTTAGCTCAAGCATACAGAGACTCTAGGATACAAGGTATGTAAATTAAAGGGACTGTTCGCGTAATTCCAAGTGACTATGCTAAGACGGTACCCTTAGAACCTGTTCCTAATCAATAATGTGGAAGATATTGTCGTTTTTCTAGGGTCAACAACGTTGAATTCTGATAATTCCTTTATGTTTTCCACCAAAATTGCGCGAGTCACTTTTCTTTAGAAACCACAATGGAAAATAATCAGGTTTCAAGTTTATAAACATTGATATCTATTTCAACTTAATCAGACAAATCTTCCAAGGGTACCGTCGTGACTCGGACATTGCCTTCTTTGATTTTGGTCCAACCAACAATTATAAGAATATAAAGCCTAAAAATAAACCAGAACGGAATTTCATAAATTGAAGAGAGGTCGCTGAACCATCTATCGCGCGCTCAATCACCAATTCAAAGTTATAGATTATTGAGGATTTAAATCTGTGATGTAAGATTTGAACCGGCTGTAAGTAGTTCAACGGTCTCTCCAATTCATTAAATTCAATCCCTGATCTGACCCCATTTACATTTCAGGGCCAGGGAAGGGAATAGAAGTTATTTTTGTGTCCTCCGACCGATCTGAGACAGAATTCTACAGCTACATGAAGGTGGGTCAATCTTGAGAAATGTTCAAAAATTCTCTTTTTTTGTGATATCTGAATATCTTTAACTCGGACAATTTTTTTGTTTCTATTGCTGGTTCAAATATCGGCCCATAAATTTTTACGCGAAGTGAAATATTATCGATTAGAAAAGAGTCAACCGATGGTGGAAGGGTATGGACACTTTTATTTAAAAACCGTTTATTCCATGCCTGTCAATGTTAGCCTTAAGCTGGTCCGGTAGTCCGTGTTCATTCTTTCCGAATTATTTTGTTCAAAAAAATGTATCAAATGGATCGTTAACGGTAATATGGTTGTTTATGAAGACAAATTTGAACTANTTTTTATCTTTTTTCTTTTTTAGGATATAATGATATTGCAAAGTTTAACAAATGTTTAACGTTTAAAGTTTAACATAGTAAGGTTTTGAAATCTTGAAATTTTTAATACATTTTTTTAAATGGATCCCAAACGATTAGTAACACTTAATTTTTGATTTAAATTAACTCTGTTGTTTTACCTATTCTAAAAATCTTCAGGAGGCACATGGCGACTGGTTTGGTCTAGTTCCAGGTCAGGCCGCGTCACAGCTAATTTCGGCGCAGTTTTCTATACGCGGCATTCCTGCACTTAAGGTGATTTCTTGATTAATCACAAAAGCATCTCATTAAAAAATTGAAGCATATACAAAATATTTCCCAAAAGAAACATCAAGAATTTATCACTCAAGCATGCGTTTTATCAATGATTCCGCGGATGAAATGCACATTGCATATTGCGCGGATCTTTAGTTCTTATTTCAAATGTTTTATAAGTGCTTTAAAAAAAGAATGTTGCCTATTTTTGATCAGAAATATTTGTCAACAAACTTAATAAATTTTGTTGTGTCAGGTTATTGGACTGGATGGTAGTTTGATATCTGAAGATGGGAGACAAGAAGTTATGAGCTTAGGTTACTTGATAATAATAATGAATTAATAAAAAAAATGATAATTAAAGTTAAGATCGCCAAAGTTGGTGAAATTGATTAAATTGATCTAATTAAGCTATTAAAACAGTTTACAAATCAGCGTGAAATATCAGTTGTATTTGCCAAGTTTTTTTTCATTAATTTGCAAATCACCAAAACATTGCTTTGCTGAAAGGGGGGGGGCTGTTATTAGATTTCAGCTTTGATTTCCTAAATATATTTAATTTGTTAAGGAAGCAGATCTTTCCAGCAATGGGAATCATTAGCACCAGCTCCAATAGATGTCTCAGTTGTTAATCTGCTATTGGATAATGAACCTACTGTCAAGGTATTCAAAATTATTGTTTTGACAAGAAAAAATAACTTTAGGGAAGTGAAGACTTAATTTTTAGTGACCTTTTATTGAAAGATTTACAAAGTATTTCAGTTTTATTAATACCAACATTCTTTTAAGAACTTGTGAGGATATAAAAATATTTATTTCCAAACATGAAATTTTCTATCTGCAAGAGAAAAACCTTTTTTGCCAATTAGGAAAATTTTCATGTTGTCAATTCTGTTCCTTGTCTCTGCTGTAGAAATCTAAAAGTAGGTTTTATTGTGAAACCCTCATTATAAATTTTCCATTGGCAGATAGAAAAGCAAGGATATCTCCGTCATGTTTTCACAGAAAATAGTGATAAGGGTATCATTGAGAATTAAAGGGTCACTTAGTAAACAGTCATTTTAATAGCTTTTGTTTTTAGAATGAGGCCTGTGATATATTGATCCGATTGTTTTCCAATATCATTAAGGAATCAGATACAGATTTTATCACTTTTTACAAAATCAAAATTATTTTTGAAAAAAAACCGTTATGTTTTTTAAAGCTTTTGGTTCAGATTTGACCACAATCTGCGCTATTATAAAAGTACAAAAGAGTTTGATAAATAACATTTTTTTCACAACACTTTTATTTAGACCAGAAGAAATTGAGCGATTAAATTCCATAATGAGGACTTTATATATATATATAACTTCCTGACATAGTTGGGGCAAATGATTATTTTTTCTGGAAATTATAAACCCAAGGCAATAACTGCTCAGAAGCCGAATCTTAAGAATTTAAGCCGCGTGGCAGAACCGCATAAAACCCGTTTCAATTGAGCACCGGCTCAAATCTTGAAATACTGAACACAATTTCAAAAATTTAAGCTAAAATTCTTTAAATTCGGCCTCTGTTCTAAAAACTTCTCTGGTGACCTCTTTATCTGTCCTTGTTCAAGGATCCTGGAAATATAAAATATCGTCAAGTTAAATTAACAAACCCAAAGATAGAGTCCAAGTTGCTTCCTGCTGCAGGTAAGGTTTGGATTACCATGACATCTTTTCTCCTTTTTTAAAATGAATTTTTTAAATATTCTATGATAAAGTGAAATAATTCTTCTTGTCATACTTCAAAATGACATTTTGATATATTATTTAAAAAAATACTTTTATCAATCTGTCCTGATAGTTTTAATTGATCATGTGACAGCTTTATATTCAAGTACTTGATTGGGTACCCAGCTCTGCCTGAAATATAAATTTCCCACCTTGCTAAACTCACATTTCTACAACTCCCTTTGCCTCACAATCACCACCCTCCCTCAAGATATTCTTTAAGTAGGCTGGGACCGAATTTAATGAATTTGAACTAGGTGACTGAACTGCCTATTGACGATTCCAATACTTAACTGTATTTCATCCATAGGACGTGGGCATATCTTGAATCATGGATTCAAGATACGTAGTCAAAGAGAATAGATAAATATAGAGTGGAATTAAGTTGAAAAAAGTGCCAACCCGCCATTTTGTTGTACTGTTTCCATATATACTGCAGGTGTGTTTCACACATTTGTGCTATATAATTATAATTATATAGCGTCGTCCCCCGTCTATAACCGACCTGCTACGACCTTCCACGACCAACTGTCAATTATATAATTAATAATTAAATAATTATACAGGGTGAGTCAAAAAAAGTGTGATTTGCGGCNTGTCCTCTTCCTTTTCAGACTCAAAGGGAACAACTTCATACAGAGGGATAGTCTTATTTCCCTTCTATTCTTATCTCTGTTCTTTGTATGTAGCTGAACCTTCAGACTCGGCTCAAAATCGTTAAATCGGGTTTTTGCATGGTTTAATGTTGATATTACTTGTCAAATGTTATTTGTAAAGAACTGATGAATCATTTTCATTTTAACATTATCAGGGGCGTTTGAAGTTCTGTTCTCAGCGGGGTTTGAAGAAGATGATGATAAGCTACTTCTCCCCCTTGCCATCCCTACCAGCAAGGTACATAACTAATTTTACTGGTTATATAGGTTTTTACTCCGTTATAGTATATTGTATTTTTATAGATTGAGAAATTTCATGATGCAATAATGAAGATTAAAGATGCAAGTCAAGGTAGCTTATCTAGCTCGGGATCTAAACCTGGGGCATCTGGAGGATCTGGGAGTGAGACTAGTGGATCAGGTGGTTCTGGAGCACCAACTCAAGGAAGTTCTAGTTTACCAGGGGGTTCTGCAAGTTCTAGCGGGCCTGCAGGAGGTTTAAGTAGCCTTATGGAATCAGGAGGGTCCTCCAGCAACATCCAAGGAAGCTCTAGACTTCTAATGCCAGATGTTCTGGCAAGAGAAAAAGATTTTCATCGTAAACTTGTTTCTGGTTATCAGCACATGCTGACTTATGAAGACCCTATAGCCCAGGCCGCTGCCTTATCTGTCATGCCAGTCGAAAGATTTGAAAGTGCTGCCAAAGAAAAATTAGAAAGAGCTAAGACCTTGGATCCCAGATTATCAGATCTCCTGTACTCGGATTTTAAGTTGATAGAGTTTAAAGAATGGTTTAAAACAGAGTTTTTCAAGTGGGTAGACGCTCCTAAATGTAGCACTTGTAATGGGGACACTGAGAACAAAGGAATGCTAGTTCCCACAATTGAGGAGCAGGCAGATGGTGCTGGTAGGGTTGAGGGTTATGTGTGTAAAAGCTGTGGGGCTGAAACAAGATTTCCGAGGTACCATTCCAAGCCGGCCAAACTGCTTGAGACTCGGCGGGGCAGGTGTGGAGAATGGGCCAACTGTTTTGTATTATGTTGCAGAGCACTTGGTTTTGATACCAGGCATATCCTAGACTGGACTGATCATGTTTGGAGTGAGGTGTGGAGCCCTGCAGAAGACCGGTGGCTCCATGTAGACCCTGGTGAAGCTGTGGATAAACCTCTAGTCTATGAAGCGGGCTGGGGGAAGAAGTTGACTTATGTAATAGCAAGCTCTAAGGATGAAGTCCAAGATGTAACATGGAGATATTCTAAGGATCATGCTGCCACAAAGCAGCGTAGGAATATAGTCAGACCCAAATGGTTAATACGGTCCCTGTTGCAGCTTACAGAGAAGGCTCAAGAGACTTACACATCAGAAAGGAAGGCTAAGTTGGCCCAACGGCGACTAGCTGACTGTTTGGAGATGTTAATGCCTAGAAAGGCAGGGGAAGGTGAAAAGGTTGGTCGACAGACCGGATCCTTAGCCTGGAGATTAGCTAGAGGCGAGCTTGGTGAACCTTCTTCCACCTCTTTTACATTCACCCCCTCTGCACAAGATGTAGAGAAAACAGAATTCTGTCTTGAGCTCTTCATGAACAAGAATTACTATTTGCTAGGAGATGGTACTAGGATCGAAGGCTGGAGGTCTGGTATACTGGAAGCAGAGAATGTCACCAGAATAGTAGAATCAGACTGGAACATGGTTTATCTCTCAAGACAAGAAGGGAATCTAGGGAAAGGTTCTGTAACATGGAAGGTGAAGCTTCCTCCTGGGTATACTTCTGGTCATGTTGAGTTACTGGTCAACTCAACTGTCTTTAAAACAGGTAGGAAAGATTCTCAAGCAATTTTCAAGATCATACGAATTTCTGGTTTTAAAAGCAGTGATTCAGGCGCGCAACTAGACATTCAGCTAAATGAAAATTAGCTATTTTTGGAACTATATATGGAGTATGGAGTATGAACCCCTATTAAGGATTTCTTGGGCAAGCTTTCTCATGGAGTGCATGCCCCCTCTCAATCAGGCTGGGGGGGGGGCCTGGCCCCCCTAGTTTCGCGCCTGAGCAGTATGCGCAATAATAGCGCAAAACTTGATATGTAGCTGACTAACTTGTATCTACAAATTTGAAATTCATCTCAATGCATGCCATATCAAAAAATTATATTGGCAGGACAACAGGTTTTTTAATTTCTCCGTTGTTATGGATATCAGAAAAATAATACAAATTTTCCGCATCATTGCGCTAAAACTTACTGCAGTAGTAGTGCATTTTCGGAAATACTAGTTTTTTATAATTAACATAAAAACATATTTGGTATATTATTAAAGGAAATTTTTAGCAAACTACATTTTTCATATTGTATTATTTATGCAATAAACTTTCCTGAAAAAGGAATAAAAAGTTTTTGCGCATGAAACCCTACCTGAAAGTCATTTACACATTCTAGTTTGAACATTACCCAATTGAGAAAAATAATGTTCCAAAAAATGTTCTGAAAATTGTAGATTCGGCCCCTTCAAGCCAAATTTAAATACAGTTTAAACTTTTTGTGGCAAATTGTAGCTTGTTTTTTTTGTATCAGTATATGAAATCTAAACAGGTTTTGCAGAAAGAAAGTAAAAATTTGGATTAAGATCATCCTAACATTTTTAATAAGCATCCTATCAAAATTCCGTTCATAGTGTTTCGGGAAACAGTCTCGAAATACCCTGTCAAAACTAAAAAATCCCAAAATACTTATTTTTAATTGAAAGTAGACTTCCTATTGTTGCAGAAATGATAAAGTTCTAGGATTTTTTTTTATTTTAGCTTTAATACGCGCTTTATATTAGATTAACAACAACAAGTCAATTTTATAAATGCTTAAATTAGAAATGCTGTATTTGTAAATTGTTGAGGTCGAGTAATCTGGCAACTCTGCGGGGAGAGTTCGTGTTTGCTACCACAGCCAGGGGTCAACCTTCAGACGGATCAGCTTACAGGTAGGAAAGTCAGGGATGGGAACTGCTTTCTGAAATTCCTACGGGCCCGCCCTATCCCCAAACTTTACATATTTCCATATTTCTTTTTAAGTAAACTTTTTCAACAAGTTTCCGAACCCCAGCATTAATTGGTCATAATCATTTTTATTCTACACTTCTTACTTCAATTAATTCTCACTTTGAATAGTTACTTTTACTAAAGTAAATCAACAAAGTGCACTTTATAATGTTAATTTAAGTTAAAGGGACCGTAAGCGTAATTTCAAGTGACCCTCCATGCAAAGATGACAATGCCCGATTCACAACAATACCCTTAAAGCTTTGTCTGATCATCTTATTAGGAAGCTACAAGCAATCCCTAACATGATCATGATTTGATTTGTTATGATCTCAATATTTTTAATTTCGAAATCTGATTATTTTTGATATAACTATTAGGAACCAAACACCTTTAAAATCTAGTAAAACAAATATATCGACCTTCCTTTCTACCTAGGTAGCAATGAGTTGAAGTTGACCGCATTAATGTCTGGGGGAGAGGGGGATCTTGCCTGGCAGCATACGCAACTTTTTAGGTGAATTTGTCTTCATTATTTGGCAAAAAAATGTTAATTTGGCAAATTTTTTATTTTTATTTCTGTTTAGGTGTAGCAGTACAGGGGAGGGAGATGCAAACCCTAATCTTAGACTTGTTGTTAAACTTAAACCGGTTTAATGTAAATATTGTAAAACCGGTTTAATATAAATATTATAAAACCGGTTTAATGTAAACATTATAAAACCGGTTTAATATGAATATTAAAGGTTTGGAGGCGCAATTTTAAGTGACTCTCCATGCAAAGATTCTCAACGGTATGCTTAAAGGGACAGACCGGCTATGTAAGGTAGTTGAACTAAGTATGCAGTGTTGTGGACAAATTCTTTAGGATTCATTTGAGACATAAAAAACTTTTTAAATATCTGAAAATCCTAGGTTTGAGCGCAAAGTCGACGGTCAAAATCATACTTTTGGGTGGATACGTTTTCAGAATTGTTTTTTTTTTAAATTAATAAATAACGACGACAAAAAATGTAAACAATATTCTTTAGTAAACTAGTAAGTTGTTTAGGAACAGATTGAGAAAATAAAAATTAATCTTATCAACGAAAATAAGTATTCTTATTCAATTATTAGTTTCTATAATCTCTCATTATTCACAAAGATTTTCTGGAATTTTTATTGAAAAGACGACATTTGAAGAATTCATAGAAAATAAGAAATTCAATATAATGATATAAACGAAATAATTGATTCTATAGCATTGATTTAATGACAAATTTCTTTTGAGAAATATGTTCCTAAACATCTAATTAGTTTAACAATGTAATTCTTACTTTATTTTACGTTGTCGTTATTTAATAATTTAAAATCCGATTCTGAAAACGTACCCACCCAAATTATGATTTACTCAGTAGTTATACATCGTGGAAACGTTTTATATGTCTCAAATGAATCCTAAAGATTTTGTCCACAACACTGCATACTGAGTTTAACTACCTTACACAGCCGGTCTGTCCCTTTAAATGTTTTGTCTGATCAAGTATAAATCAGATCTTGTTTTTACTGTTAATTTAGATTTGTGGTTTCTCTGCTGAATTAACTTGCGCATTTCTTGCTTATAAGAAACACTGTGGCTATTATCAGAATTAAGAGCTTTTCTAGTCAGATAAACGACGATATCTTTCTCATTTTGGATCAGATGAAGGTTTCAAGGATACCGTTGTAAATCAGACATTGCAATCTTTGCCTGGAGGATCCCTTGAAATTTCCACAGTACCTTTATCTGAAAACTAAATATTTGATGAATTTAGAAAAAAAACTGGTGTAACATAAATATTATTAAACCAGTTTAAATTAAAGGGAGTGTATAACAAAAATTAAATTTAAAATAGCTTTCTGTGATTTAATTAAATGTATTTGTAATCTTGTAATGTGTTTTAAAAAGGCTTTATTTAAAGGGACTGTTTGAGCAATTAAAATTGATAGAGGGGCATATCCGATTCCTGAAGGTACCTAACAACAGCTTTGTCTGATCAAGTATGAATTATATATCAATGTTTTGTTTATTGAAAACTGATTATTTTTAACTGTGGTTTCACTTTAGAAGTGACTTGCTATATGCTCATTTCTTGCTCCAAAAACAAAAATGAAATTATCATAATTAAACACAGTTGTAAATCTGACATGCCTCTCTTTAAAGGAGGGTTACTTACAATTACAACGACACAGTCCCTTTAGGAGTTCTTTCCTTAATTTCTGAAAAAAGATTTGATTAAAAATTAAAAAAATTTTGATGTGGGTAAAATGCACGTTTTGTTTTGTTTGATCTAATAATTAGGTAAATCAAATGCTTAAAATAATTTTTTAGCGTGGAGAACATAAAATAAAACATAAAAATTAATCGGAATAACACATTAAACCACACTTATTTCATTGCAAACTTGAGAACTAGATTAAATAGTCGAAAGTTATCACCTTTTTTAGAAGTTTTAGGTAATTTAAGCTGAAGAAGGATGGGTCAATCTGCCGCAACAACCCAGAGATGATTTCAAGGATGTACACTGTACAGAGGAAGAAAGGCTTGAGCTTATTTGGAGAGGTACATGCCTGATTCACAACGGTACCCTTTTAATCTTTAACTTGATTAATAACATGTTCTGACAGTATGCTTGCCAATTTGGACTGTGTAATTGCATCTACAGGGTGTCCTACGAAACATTACAGTTGGTAAATAGTTTGGAATGTCGTCTTCCATACAACGTATGAGAAGAAATTAAAGGCTGTACGCAGTTTATTTTGTTTAAAAATCTTTTGCTCAAGTATATTTTACTATAATATATATATATGACTCCTAAATAATATTTTTATTCTTGTCTTTGGTATTAAACAAATTAAAAAATTATGGAAGACATTCTAAAGTACTTACCGACTGTCATGTTTCATGGGACACCCTGTAACTTAAAGGGACTGTCTTTGCAATTTCATGTGAACCTTCATTCTAAAAAAGGGCCTTTCTGACTCACAACGGTTACACACAAATATTCATCTGATCAATAATGTGGTAGATATCGTCGTTATTATTTTTAACTCGAAAACTTTTCCCTCCATTGTTTTTTAGCAAAAATCTGCAAGTACCTTCTACAGAAAAAAACGAGTAAAGTATTAATTTTGAAAATTAAAAATATGGATATCTCTTCTATTCTTAAACCGTTGTGAATCGGTTTTGTTACTTAAAATTACGTGTACAACAGTGTACAGTGTACATTGTACAGACCCCTGGATCAGATCGTCATTTAAGATTTATCCTTTGTTAAACCTGTCTTGTGAAAATATCCAATAGTAAACTTTTCTAAGGCGTCCAGTGCTATTCGCAAACGATGCTATCCCATTTGAACTACTCCCGTTTGAACTATTGTTCATTTGAATTATTGTTCGTTTGAACTACTGCACGTGGTACCACGTGAAGAGTTGAAATGAACAACAGTTCAAACGAGTTTATTTAATGCTCATTTGAACTATTTTCAGTTCATTAATGAATTATTGTTTATTTGAACATCTATGAAATAAACATAAAATAGTTCAAATGAACATAAAAATAGTTCAACCGCGCGACATAAAAATATAGTTGAAATGAACAAAACTAGTTCAAATGGAAATAAAAATAGTTATATTGAACATAAAAATAGTTCAAATTATACATAAAAATAGAATATCTCCAACATCAAGCTTTCATTCCTTCTTTTATCTTTCCTTTTAGTTTAAACTGGATAAGTTAAAGGGACTGTAAGCGTAATTTCAAGTGAACCTTGATGCAAAGATGGCAATACCCGATTCACAACACAAACCCTTCAAACAATACGCAAAATTGTAGTTAAAAGTTAAAGTCCGGCGACATCAGGTTGCAATTAGATATGAATATTAAATTTTTTTTGAACAAAATCTTTAAAACCAAATGGTATGAGATTTTAATTGTTACTTTTAGATGAAAATCTGTATATACCGCGGGTTTTACACAAATATAAAACAAGCCAGCGCGCCGATCAGAGTATAATGAAATAAATTTTTAAATTAAAATAAAAATTTTCGAACAAAAATGTGTTTGTTTCCAAATTATATTAAGGCATATGGAAAACCTTAAAAACTATTTATGAAAATCTGTGTGCAGGTTTTACAGACATCGCTACAAAATTGGCGAGTTATGATCACAAAATTTAAAATAACTACTAAACCGATCATTTCTCAAGCATGAAATTTCGAGCGAATTTTGTTCATACATTAAGAAGTAATATATATAAATTTTAAGAAAACCGTAGTATACTTTGTCTGCTATTTTTTTATAAACAGTTTTCTCGGTTAATATTCACCCTTAAATTACCCCCTACGGACTTTATGTTTAAAAAATAAAGTTTTTTATTGTCTATAAAGTGGCGTCAAAATCAAGTCAATATCTTTATAAAGAAAAACGCTATGACAGTTTGAATAGATTGACCTTCATGGCGAGGGCACAACTTTGTGACCTTGGTACTCCGCACCAAGAGGTCACACGGGGAAAAATATATCAGATTATGTCATGTCTTATATAGGTCTATTAATGTATTTAGTTTGAAAAGAATCGGAGAGGGTGCAGCCTACTGATTTTTTTTTTAAAAGTGGCTGAATTCTTAAATGGACTCACCCATCAATGTTTTGTTCATTGAAAAAAGTTTTTTTAAATTTGGTTTCACTTTTAACTTGTTCATTTCTTGCTTCAAATTCCAATACAATAAAAAAATTAACATAATTAAATACTGCTAGAAAAAGTACGTTATCTTCCGAATTATTTATCAAATTAAGGGTACCGTTGTAAATTTGACATGCATCTTTTTTTATAAAGGGTCACTTAAAATTACACCAACAGGCCCTTTAACTTAACATTTGTTATTTATAATACTGGTAGTTTAAAACTTACAATCACAATTTAATGATAATTAAAATCTGTATTTAAAGTTTTTTTTAAAATTTAAATTTAATTTAAAATTAGTAAGTAATTGTAAGTAACTATTTATTTATCACTTAAACATACAAAATTAGGTGTTTTAAGAGAAAATATTTAAAACCCTCCAAATTTAGAGGTTGTGGGAATATTTCCCCCAATTATAAAAAAGGTAAACTAAAGGAAAGGAAAGGCAAAACATATTTAGTTATATATAGTTATACATTATGGTATTTTTACACGAAAAAAGTCGACTCATAGTATTTCTAAAGATGTCGTTATTATTATAACTTAAGTAATTTCTGTGTCTGTTATTTATATATTAACAGGCGCACGATTAATTTTAAAAACAGTTTGTTTTTATCTCTAGACTTGGTTACAAATTAGTAACCCACATTAAATTCACAGATGTAAATTCCGTTCTAAACTATACAATATATAATATGTAATTCAATTATTATCTTGTAATACGAAAAATAAAAATATTTAGTTTTAAAAAGAATTTACGAGCTCTCCAGTAGAAATAATTTTCTCTTCACTGGATTTAGAACCCTCCGGTACTCTCCAGTAATCTCCAATTATTAATGAAAACTCGAAAATAGAGATGCCTTTAAATCCTTTATCATCCTAATACTACAAAGGGTTGAAAAGTACCATTGTTAATAGGACATGACGCACTAATCACTAAGGATCAGTTGAAAATATGTGGACAGTCCCTTTTTTAAAATTCCCTTAATAAAAATTCATATTTAGTTAATTCTTGATCAGACAACGCTTTTTAGGGTACCATTGTGAATCGGACATTGCCATCTTTGAAATTACGCTTACAGTCCCTTCCTTATAGTTTCTTTCTTATAAAATATGTATTTTTTTAACAATGTTTCATATACTCTTGTAAGTAAACAAACTTTACTGATAAAGATTTCTCCTACACTCAGTTTAAACATGAATTCAAGGATAAAATAAAGTTATGAACGAACAAAAAAAGTCTTTCTCCTTCGGAGGCGGAGAGACTAAAGTTTTGACTTGTTACGAAGCATCAGATTGGTTTGTGAAGAATGTTCTAACCATAAACCTGGAAAAAGAAAATGTCAGATTTCCAGAGGAAAAAATAAGATTTGGAATAAATCCCGAGATTCCTAAACACAAGGTACAAGATTTAAAAGATCATGGTGCTACACACCTGAACAAGGCTGATTCTGATAAATTTGGAGGATTTATCGGAAACTATGAAGGAGCGGAGTGTGAGAAAATAGTCTGGGATTATCTGATTAAAACACAAGAAGAATTTAAAATCCGTACCGCCATGTTTCACAACTTTGATCAAAATATGTTTCTTCGCTTTACTTCTGGTGCCGATAAAGTTGAAGTATCTGATGCCAACAAAGTTGAAGTATCTGATGCTGACAAAGTTGAAATATCTGGTGCTGACAAAGTTGAAATATCTGGTCCTGACAAAGTTGAAGTATCTGGTCCTGACAAAGTTGAAGTATCTGATCCTGACAAAGTTGAAATATCTGATGCTGACAAAGATGAAGTATCTGATGCTGACAAAGTTGAAGTATCTGATGCCAACAAAGTTGAAATATCTGATGCTGACAAAGTTGAAATATCTGGTGCTGACAAAGTTGAAATATCTGATGCCAACAAAGTTGAAATATCTGATGCTGACAAAGTTGAAATATCTTGTGCTGACAAAGTTGAAATATCTGGTGCTGACAAAGTTGAAATATCTGGTGCTGACAAAGTTGAAATATCTGGTGCCTACAAAGATGAAATATCTGGTCCTGACAAAGTTGAAGAATCTGGTCCTGACAAAGTTGAAGTATCTGGTCCTGACAAAGTTGAAGTATCTGATGCTGACAAAGTTGAAGAATCTAAGGCTGACAAAGATGAAGTATCTGATGCTGACAAAGTTGAAGTATCTGATGCTGACAAAGTTGAAGAATCTAAGGCTGGCAAAGATGAAATATCTGGTGCTGACAAAGTTGAAATATCTGGTGACGACAAAGTTGAAATATCTGATGCTGACAAAGTTGAAATATCTGGTCCTGACAAAAATGAAGTATCTGATGCCGATAAAGTTGAAATATCTGGTGCTGACAAAGTTGAAGTATCTGGTGCCGACAAAGTTGAAATATCTGGTGCTCCAAAAGATAAAGTATCTGGTGCCGACAAAGCTAAAGTATCTGATGCTGAAAAAGTTAAAGTATCTAGTGCTCCGAAAGTGAAAGTATCTGATGCTGACAAAGTTGAAATATCTGGTGCTCCCAAAGTGAAAGTTTCTGGTCCCGACAAAACTCAAGCATCTGATGCCGGCCTAACTACCAAGGGAAAATCTAACAAACCTGTAAAATCCCAAGCTCCCAATGCAAGCAATGCTTCCAAAGGTAAAGCTAACAAAACTCCCAAAGTTAAAGACCCAAATAAACTTGACAACAAGGAGTTCGACTTTATCTTTATTTTGGCGGAATACAAGATGTTTTGCCTTGTAGAGGTTAAAGCAGGGTTCAAGGGAAACACAAAGTGGGAGAACCAAGCTGAACATGGTGAACATTATTTTAACAAACTTATTGAGTTCATTGGAAGAGATAAATACAAGGATTGGACATTTCTACCAATTGGAGTTTTTCCTAACTCTCCTGATCGCAAGCAGGTAATTTACTATTATTATGTCTTCTTTAAAATATTTCCACAAAAATCTAAATTAGATATTTTTCAGGTTAAAGTAAACTACTGGTTCAAGACAAAATATCCGGCTCACCTAATTCTCACTAAACAAGAGCTTGAGCTGAAAGATGGAAACCTTGTCCTGGAGTTAGAGAACCAACCGAGCACTCAACTCAACACCTTTCCTCTTGATGAGACGTACCTTGATCTTGTTAAAATTATGCTGGCCTCTGCCTACAGTTCAGAGAATAGTGGGATCATGAACCTTGATAGGAAAAATCTCTTTTTTTTTAAGATCTAAATATTTTTATTCAGTAAAAAGTTAAATGCATACATTATTGATTAAGATTTGTACGATTACATATACATTTTATGTTTGTAATGAAGAAAATGTCTGTGCTGTTGAGTTCTTTAATGCAGAGGATATCTGTAAGAAGATGGATATTCCTCTGTCAGAGAATAATTTCTATTCCAAACTTCCACAGTTTATAGAGAAAGGTGAACAAACTAATTTTAAACATAAGTACATAAATATTTTGCTTGTTCTGCTTTTTCATGTATGCTATTTCACAAAACTTCAAAATTTCCCCTTCTTCCTGCCCCCTTCCGTTTTAAACAAAATAAATGCATATAAGAAGGTTTGGGAAGGTATAAGAAGGTTTGGGAAGAAGGAATGGGAAGATTTAGGAAGGTATGGGAAGGTATGGGGAGATTAAAAAAAAATTATACAACATTTTTCATATTTTAAAGTAATCTCTCGAACTAGTGTATAACTTATAAACTACTGAATTTGAATATTAATTATTCTTTTAATCTTGAGGTTTTTGTAATTATAATAGAACAAAAAGTTACATGTTTACAAATAATATAAGTTATATCATTATGTTTTTGTAATTAGAATAGAACAAAAAGTAACATGTTTATAAACAATATAAGTTAAATCATTACGTTTGTGCGTAAGAATTTTTTCAAAATAAAATTAAAACTAATTAATCTTTTAAAAGTATGCATATATATATATGTAATATAATTACATGTTTGATTTAAAAATTTGTATTTGGATAAAATTAAGTTAAAGTTTAAAAATACGTTTGTTAAAACAAGTTTAAATAAATCTTTTTAAAAATAGGGAGTAGATGCTTAAATAGTTGAATATTGTAAATAAACAATACATAGTAGATATTGCATTGTATTGAAATTTAAAAATTGAATTTCAAGAGAAAAATCTAAACTTTTGTTTATAATCATGCAGGTATTTGTAGTACTTAGATATGAATTTCAGAGAAATTAAAGTTTAACATTTTATTTTTGAACAGTATGAAAAGGTATGGAAAGGTATGGGAAAGTATGAGAAGGTACGGGCAGATATAAGAAAGTACGGGAAGCTATGGAAAGGTTTGGAAAGGTACAGGAAGGTTTTGGAAAGGTACAGGAAGGTATGGGAAAGTATGAGAAGGTACGGGCAGATATAAGAAAGTACGGGAAGGTATAGAAAGGTTTGGAAAGGTACAGGATGGTATAAGAAGGTACAGGAAGGCATGGGAAGGTATGGTAAGGTAAAGGAAAGGACGGGAAGGTATAGGAACTTATGGGAAGGTAAGAAAATTAGGGGAAGATATTTGAAGGTATGGGATGATATGGGAAGGTACGGTAAGGTATGGAAAGGTACGGGAAGGTATGGGAAGGTATGTGAAGGTATAGGAAGGTACAGGAATGTATAGAAAGGTACGGGAAAGTATAGGAAGGTACGGAAAGGTAAAGGAAGGTACGGTAAGATATGGAAAGGTACGGGAAGGTATGTGAAGGTATAAAAAGGTACAGGAAAGTATGGGAAGGTACTGCAATGCTAGGATACCAGGGTTAAAAAAGTTAACATTTTTTAAATTAAATTTTCAAATCTCACACTCACTACCTCGCAAGAGTTTCAAAAGTAAGAATTTTAATTTTTCTTTGAAATTCAAATCTCACTACCACCGATACTAAAGCCCAACTAATTACCTTTTCCTTGAAAATGTCAAAGTTTGATGTGTAGCACAAATAATATTCATCTGTTAATGTTGTAGAGATGGGGGCAAAGAAGAGAGGACTAGTTATCCTGGACGAGTTTGGTGACGGATTTAAATATAAATATAAAGAAGATAAATGGCGTCGACATATAGATGAGGAGACACAAGATTTCCTGAACCTTGACCAGTACTTTATTCTTCCAGTAGAGAACCTTGTCATTTCTATGAATCCTGATTTATTAGACTCCAATAATAGGCCTATTGAAGGAGTGATTGGGAAGGATGAGTTTAGTGAACATGCATTGCACCGTGTAATGCGGAATACAGCAGGAATAGTTCAGCATCATAAGGATTTGGGATATACTACTTTCACGCATTGTATTCCATTGACTGTTGAAGGTCCTGCTCCTGTTCAGCTGAAGGGGAATTTCAATCACCCTGATTTCTACCAACAATGTCTGAAGACTGTTACAAGTAAACAATGGATCAAGTTTGTTTGCAGTTATATTGAAGAGTTTGACAGAAATCTGTTTATCCAGGAGTTGGGTACTGAAGGCATTAAACTATTTGAATATTTGAGAGCTGATCAAGCTGTTAACCTCGAGTCTTTCATTGAAGCTGAAGCAGGATGCTTATTGGTACCCTGCATTCAACTTAGAGGAGTAGAATCCCACTCAATTCTATATTTTGCTGATAACAAAAATGATGCTGGTCTTGCATCATTACGATGTTCCACAGATGTTATCCTTTGTTTCCCAGAGAACAGTGTAGGGGTGTATAACATTGGTCCAGGAGAACACAGAATACAAGGATCCAGAGAAGATCCTGTTCCCTTCAAGAAACTGAAAGAAACCTTGGACATGTTTGATACTAAACATGTTGTTTGTCTTGAAGATTTCTCTAGTACTGAAGTGCAACTTTTCAAAGAAGAAATGAAACAAGGCAGGTTCCAGATAGCCTATACAGATGATGTTCCATCTTCTCCAGATGATCTGTATAGTCAGCTGGATGGTCTAGAGAAGGGAGGTGTTATAGTGTATACTCAGACAAGGAAAACAGCTGTTTAATCAACTTTATAACTGGTCGCAGAGGAGAAACTTTTGTTATGCAGGGGCATGGTGTTCAAAATCCGCTATAAACATACAGTTTCATGGTCCAAGGCCTGAAATCCCTAGATCAAACAGATGGTGAAATATTCTCTAGAAAAATTTTGTATTTGTTTTGAATCTTCCTGACAGAAACAATCTCAAGAACTGACGAGGGTAAACCCAAACCGAAATATATTTCAAAATCATGTGGAACCCACTCCACTTGAAAACTTAAGAAAATTATCAATTTAGCATCTAATTCACGAGAATCAATAACATGAAATCTGTGATTGAAACTTTGTGTGAATTGCAGTTCAATTCTTGAGAAGTGATATCCTAACTTTTTAGAAAGTGATCACTGTAACTTTTCATTTCAAGTACCAGGCCGACTTTTAATCATTTAGAGCAAGCTGTACAGTACACTTACAGACTACATAAGGTAAACCGAACAGTACACCATGAACTAGTTCCCTACTAGGAAGATTCTAGTGTAACTTATCATTGTTTTTATTTTCTTGGGATTTTTAATCAACTTTGCTGAATATTCTCAGCAATCATTGGTAAAGTTTCCATTTACTGATTAAAGGATTCATAACTCTAATTGGATAATGAGATAGATAGAAAGATAGATGTTACCGCCATACTATTTCTATTGGTTCAGAATAAACAACAAACACATGACCCCTGATTGGATCAGGCGCTATTGATCTCAGCATACAGGAGTGAAGTGAATACCAAATTAGAAAGTCACATCGCTCCGTCAAGCTCATAACAGTTTTTGCATGAAACGCGCTGGGTCCACTACACAGGCTGATACGAGTAAATGTGTATGTTGTACGATTACGCTAGACCTGTAAATCCTTGTGCCGGTTCGGATCATGCAACAATGTAAAGTTAGACTAAAGTGGCGGCCTAAACTTCAAGATATTGTTAAATGGTTCGGATCAATGTGAAGTTAGACTAGCCTGGCGGCCTAAACTTCAAGATATTGTTAAATGTTTATAAAGTTATTGATTAAAAAATGTTGGCTTTAAGTCTAGTTACTAACTTACTGACGTAAACGTATTGTTATTAACTTGATTAGAAAAGGTTATTTCCAAGTTTTCTATAAAAATGTTGATCTTTTCATCTTTAAAACTGTATTATGTCAATTGTCATATTTATTCACAGTTTGTATAATTATCTACATATGTCTTATTAACTTTTGATAGATAATTGTTGACAGATAACAGCAACACACCTGATGAACTTGGATAAAAGGCCCGTCGGAATTCCGGTGAGGGAAATAAATTCTGTCCGGACAGTTCCTTTCCGGTCGGCCGCAAATACACACAACAGAGTAACCCCGTCTCAAGAAAATCGATAACAAAAGCTTTATTTCCTAAAAAATAACATAAATTATAGGTCATGGTTACTTGTACAATGTTATAATAAATGTTAATAATAGAAAAAAAATCTTACGATTTATTTAGGTATGATACAGGGGAAACTTATTGTTGATCAGTATTGAAATACGTTTTTAAACTTCTGAAAAAAAATTACAGCTGAATATTTAACGAAATTCACTAATGCTTCATATGAAAATATTCTTGTTTAACTTTAATGATTTCACAATAACGAAAATGGTTTAAGTTCCGTGGGACGGAGTACAAAGAGAATGCGGGCTGAAATTATTTGGTTTGGTTTTTCTCCGAGAGGAGATTTTAAGTTGAAGACGACATTATCCAGAGGTCTTAATAAACAGATTGGAAACAGTATACAGATTAAACAGATTGGAAACAGTATACATATTAAACAGATTGGAAACAGTACACAGATTAAATAGATTGGAAACAGTATACAGATTAAACAGATTGGAAACAGTATACAGATTAAACAGATTGGGAACAGTATACCGATTAAACAGATTGGAAACAGTTTACAGATTAAACAGATTGGAATCAGTTTAGAGATTAAACAGGTTGGAATCAGTATACAGATTAAACAGATTGGAAACGGTATACAGATTAAACAGATTGGAAACTGTACACAGATTAAACAAATTGGAAACAGTATACAGATTAAACAGATTGTAAACTCCTGTATGCCAAGTCCATTAGCGCCTGATCCAATCAGGGTTCAGTCATGGGTTTGTTGTCTATTCTGAACCAATAGAAATAGTATGGCGGTAACATCTATCTTTCTATCTATCTCATTATATTCAACATATTGGAATACAATCAACATTATAGAACATATTAAACATATTGGAATAAATCAACATTATAGAACATGTTCAACATATTGGAATACAATCAACATTATAGAACATATTAAACATATTGGAATACAATCAACATTATAGAACATATTCAACATATTGGAATACAATCAACATTATAGAACATATTCAACATATTGGAATAAAATCAGCATTATAGAACATGTTCAACATATTGGAATACAATCAACATTATAGAACATATTAAACAAATTGGAATACAATCAACATTATAGAACATATTCAACATATTGGAATAAAATCAACATTATAGAACATATTCAACATATTACAATCAACATTATAGAACATATTAAACAAATTGGAATACAATCAACATTATAGAACATATTCAACATATTGGAATACAATCAACATTATAGAACATATTCAACATATTGGAATACAATCAACATTACAGAACATATTCAACATATTGGAATAAAAAAACCTATAGCTTGTCGTATTTTAAGAGTTTAAATCGTTATTAGAGTCTAATTCTTTGTGGGTAACCCTGTTCACTGATCTAATTGTTAAATTTGGTCTTTAATAGTTTTTCCATGGTAAATTTAAAGATTTTGCAGAGAAGTTATTAAGTTTATAGTTGCATGCAGACATGCCGGATGACAAGAATTTTAGAAAATAATCTGAATAAATTGCGTACAGTCGTCTTTGTAGTCTCATCCTTTGTGAATAACTTTATAGATTTATCCTTTCACAAGTATAATGAAAAACAATAGCTTAGTTTTTTATTATTTTTTAGAAGGTTCAACAGAAAATCTTTAAAGATCCCAACATTTCAAATATTAATTATCAATTGATAGAAAAGCTACTTTCGTAGTCGACCATAGAATAAATTTTCATCATCGGCTTGTAGACGGGTGAATACTATAGATATACATCCTAGCTCTAATTTGAATTAAGAAACTATTAAGTTTAGGATCAAAAGACTTAGAGAGAAACTTCTTCTGAAACAGCTGTTAAAACCTTTAGTTTAAAAGTACCTAAAATGATCATCATAGGCTGTTGACAAAAAGAAATAGGATTATTTAATGTTCTTTAACATTGCCAACAAAATGCAAAGAAAATTAAAATAAAAGTAAAATAGAAATTAGAACTTTTTCAAAAAAATATGTATTAATTCTGAAAACCATTTTGTTATTTTCAGGTTAAATAAGTATTTTTTGAGACTTAAGATGAAAATAAACAACGGCAACGCAGCCTTAACTTAAAATCAATGAAATGAAAAAACTACAGTTTGACCCCCCAGAGATTTGAGACATCGAAAGAATTCATTAAATGTCGTATTCTTAACTTGCTGATAATGGAATGCATAGATTAATTAAACTAACAGATAGGACACTATATGTCGTCTTTTCAACATTTAAATTTAACTCGTCCACAATAACCCTGAGGCAGCAGCTCAGAGGAGTTTCGCACAGTCAACGTAGACCAGGCTCTTTCTGTCTTGTAATTATACGCAGACTGCTCGAAAACTCCTCTGGGCTGCTGCCTCGAGTTTCATCGTATTCTTGAAAAGACGACATCTGTTATTTTAATTAATCTATGATGGAATGCTATAACATATATTTGATTTTTAAATTGTATAATTATATGGATCTGTTTGCGCACATTTTATGGCTTTTTTATTATTTTTATCTTAGGTTTAAAAGTAAAATAAAAACCATTAAAAAATTGTCAAGACGACATTTATTATTTCTTCCGACGTCTCTTTATATTTGAACTTGACTGTATGAAATTCAACATCAATTAGGACTGAATTGTTCATGCATGTTAAACTGACTATATTCAACTTCAAGCTTTCATTCCTTCCAAGGAACGATATACAGGAAAGCCCAATTCAGATATACGCAAATTGTGTACTGTTCATTGTGGGAGGAATGTAAACAAACCTGTAAGTGCCCCCACAGAAGTTGAAGGGAAAGTACTATAGCTCTGATGTGATATTACAGTCCAACAAAATAACAAGTTAATATACACTATACAGTTAGAACGAATACTTATTATTTTTGGCTTTCTGGTAAATATGGAAAATACAATAGCAGTATTTTCTTATTCCATCCCTTGAGCCCTTTTCCCTCAAAAATAATGCGTTTCTCCTGAATTCTTTGTTTTGATCTCCTCCCACTGCAGTACACAGAAATGACGCATGAGCTATGGCGGTTCCTGGTCTATAAATTTCTGGAATCCTTCTTTCTTTTTTAGTTTCATATGTTATAAGGACTGGAAGCGTATGAACCAGGGGGGATGATAGTTTCCTACCTTTGTGCTCAGTTAGCTAAACTCTACACTAACAAATGTTTACTAATAATGATAAACTATATGTTTGGCCAGAATCTCTTTATAATAAACAAATATGCAGTACACTCTCGGTATAGTTCATGGCCTATATATACAATTAATATAGGATTAGCGTACATCATCACTCTATACACTAAAATCTCGTTGGTACGAACCCTCATGCAAAATTGGCAATGCTCAATTCACAACGGCACCCTTTTTTGATCAATAATGTTTAAGTCATTTTTCCAGCCGATTTTCAGCGTAGCAATTCGCAAGTCAATCTTGTAGTAAAATCACAATTGAAAAAGATCAGTTTTCAAAATTAAAAAAATTGATATCTAACTGATACTTTATCAGAAAATCTTTTAAGGGTACCGTTGTTTATCGGACACTGCCATCTTTGTATGGAGGTCAGAGAGAAAGAAATAGAAGGGACGCGGCCCGCCCTACCATATGAATGATTATACATGCTTTGCAGACGGGTTCTCCATTTGTATATGAAATATTCAGAATAGGTTTACCTTTGTGACAGAAACAATCTCAAGAACTGACGAGGGTCAACCCCAGACCGAAATATATTTTCAATCTAATTTTTTACTCAACAGAGGTTTGGTCCATCACCATCACCGAATCTTAAAAATATCTTTAATTTGTTACATCACAGAATTTGATTAACAAAACCCCATGTATTGAACACAAGTTCTGGTTATGTCTCTCTATTAAAAATCTGTATTTAATGTTTTTTATTTTTTTATTTTGTTTTTTCAACTACATATTTAAATCTGTGTATTTCCATAACTATGTGGAACAGTAAATAATTGACTGCAGGGGAATGGGGGGGGGGGGCGCACTAGATATTTTCTGGAAGAATAAAACTAGTTTTCTTCATTGATCTTAAATCTTGTAGGATCCGTGCAAGTCCTTGATTAATCTGAGAGCAGTTTAGAACACTTGTCTGACCTCCGCTTGCAGTATTCTGACTTTCACTAGGAGAACTCTGACTCCCGCTGATGGCATTCTGACCTCCTGTAGCAGTGCTCTGACCTCCGGTTGAGTTTACAATGTTCTCCTCAATGTCTAGCCTAGCCTCGAGGCTGTCCAACCTTTCCTCAAGAAGATCCTGAACATGTTGAATATGAGAAACAAGATTGATTCTACTCTCCTCCCTGTTTATTAGCTTAGGTTGAGGGATGATGGTGGGAGTAGGAGGGGGTGGGACACCTAGCCCCATCCCAGGGGGCGGAGCAGCTAGCCCCATCCCTGATATATCCTTGAGAACTCCAGGCAACAGTTCTTGAACCTCCTTCAAAGACGGAAAATCAAAGAATGAAAATTCCTCAGTTTTCTCAAAATCTACCGAGCCAACAGTCTGCTCATCTATTACAGTTTCATTGGAATCCAACCCGGATACTTTATTCGGAGAACTTTCAGCCGTGCTCAAGGGTTCGGGTTTATTACTCTCCGCTCTGGGTACATCTGAGATACCAAGTTTCCTCTCCAGGTCGAGCTTACTGATGAACTCGGATTTTTTCTCAACCTCAAAATTTAATTCCGGTTTCTCTGTATGGTCGAAACCGTTGACAAGGGGTTTAGACAATTCAGTTTTAATTATATCAGTCTCTTCATCAAGTTCAGTTTTCCTAATCTCTTTTGTATCATCCGTCTTTTCTTGCATCTCATTCACAATCTCTTCATTCTTTGGTAGAATTATAGATCCGTTCAGTAGTTTCACTTTGCCGTTAGAACAGGCTCGTATTTCCTCTCCTTCCCTGTTCTTGAATTCTTTCTCTTCCCCATCCCTCATAATCAATTCTTCCTTCTTCCCCTTCTCTCCTTCTTTCTTCCACTCCTTCTCATCGCTGAACGTAACAGTTCTTCGTCTAGCCCCTGCTTTATCTATTCCATTGTGTAAGTTGAACTCTGTGGTTTCATGATCAGTTTTAATATTATGATCTGGTTGCGTTAAAATATTAACAGGGTTAGATTTATCTGGGATATACTTGGGATGGCCTACTCCCTCTAGTCCTACTCCTTGGGTCCCAACTTCTTCCAGTCCTACTCCCTGAGCTCCTACTCCCTCTAGTCCACCTACTCCCTCAGTAAAGTCCGCTGTAAGATCCAGATTAAACCCTTGTGAGTCCAAAAATGCTGAAGTGTCCCAGGCTAATGGTGGAGCTGACTCCTCCCAAGGAGCTGACCACATAAACACTTTAGGATGGTTTTTCTGCTCCGCTATATTAAGCTTAGCCTGGAGTGAGTGGAGAACACTGGAGAGAGCCGACAGATCGTTCATGAGTCTAGATAGTTTTTCTATTCTCTCCGCTCCCTCTTCAAGTCTTCTTTTTCTCCTCTCCTCCCCCTCCTCCTCTCTAATCCTCTTCTCCCTGGCAGAGAGGGCGGGGGAGATGAGGGAGGGTCGGGGAGGGGACAGGGAGGGCAAGGACTTGTCCTGTGACCAGTAGGTTGGGATGTAGTAGAGGGAGGATTGTCTACCTAGTCTAGGATTGCGACAGGTCAGACAGATGTAGTATTCAGGTACCTAGATATATTTATATATTACAATATGAATTAATAAATGAATGAACGAGTGAACGAGCGAACGAGCGAACGAGCAAACGAGTAAACAAGACGAGTAAACAAGACGAGTAAACAAGACGAGTAAACAAGACGAGCAAACAAGACGAGTAAACAAGACGAGTAAACAAGACGAGTAAACAATTAAATGAATAAATGAATAAATGAATAAATGAATAAATGAATAAATGAATAAATGAATAAATGAATAAATGAATAAATGAATAAATGAATGAATACCTGGTCCTCTGTATAAATGCCAAGACATATTCCATGCTGCCAAGTGAGACAGACATCACATTGTATCATCATACCGTCCCCCTCATTCTTTCCACATACACACATTACAAGCTCCTCCTCAGACATAGTCTCTACACCCTACAGATAGACATATATATATAGTTAGATAAATAGATGGTAAGATAGTGACTTAATTATCTAGATAGATAAATAGACAAAGATAGATACAGATTACTATACAAATATTTTAATGAAACGTTTTGTTGGAAAAAATAAAAAATTCTTAAGATAAATGAACTTTTGTGTGAATTTTGGGATAAAGCATTGATCTCTATCTTGTCCGGACCTGCTTGGTCCTTTTCGATATCCCATGATGGTCATACCCTGTTTGGATAACTTTAAATGATCAAGCTTTGATCCTGAAATTCGAAAGTGTCCCCACTGGATATCGAGATCAAGCGTACTAGATTACCTGATCGGGGGGTGATCTAACAGGTCTTCTTTTCCAGGTTGTCGGGATACCTCCAGGAGTACTCGGTACTCCTGGAGTACTAGGTACTCCTACAGGGGAAGTAGCTCTAGGAGTAGGAGGAGCGGAACAAGGAGGGTCCTGCTGAGTACCTGCTGGAGTACTACTCCCAGGTGTAGCTGAGGGTGTAGGAATACTCCCAGGAGTACGGTAAGATTCAACATCAATCGACTTCAAATTAACCTGAACGTAATTAAACATGACTTTTTTAATGAAGAAAAATTTTTTTAAGGCAAAATATTTAAGTTTTGGCCAGTTATATCTTACAGACAAGTCAAATTTATACTGGGCTATAAAGGCGCTCTACGCCCCCATTCCTGTTAACAATTTTAGTTTTTAACTATTGCTATAAGTAGTCATTATTAAGTTTAAGGATTTCATATCATATTTTCGCGCATTTTCAAGATTTTACAAAAATAAAAAACTTTTAAACACAAATTTTTAAAATTTTGATCCTTCATAAACCTTCCCTGGGGTCACGTGAGGTCCCACACAAAATTTGGGCCCGATCGGTTCAGCCGTTTTGACATTAATTGGATACAAACAAACAGACAAGCCAAATTTATAAATAGATGTCGACATATTATTCAATTTTGATGGTCTTAAGACCTTTCCTGGAGTCAGTTAAGTTGCCATAAAAATTTGGGCCCGATCGTTTTAGGCGGTTATAGCTTACAAACAAGCTTAACAAACAGACATGCAATTCATAGAGGTAGGCCAAATTCAGGTCCAATGAAATATTAGATAAATTAGGTCTTCCACTAACAACTTATACATTATTTGAAGAGGACACGGAGCACCAAGAATTAATAATGTATTTCATACCTGGAGCTTAGGGTGCAAGGAGTTACGTTTACTCCTCCCCTTCCCCTTCTTGTTCACAGACGAGAGGGGCGTGGTAGATAGAGCAGGATCTGGGATAGGCGTGTCCAAGGATGGTCCAGGGGTGGGAGGGTCAGAGGGAACAGGAGAAAATATTTCCAGGGAAATTTCACTCTCCTCCTGGGGGAAAAATAATAAAAATTAACTTGGTGGGAAAATTACAAAAAAAAATAATAAAAAAAAGTTATCAGAAAAACGGAAAAAATGTCTGGGGAAAAAAATTATTAATAAAAAAACTGGAAAGTGATCAAACCCTTGAGAATGGAAATCATAGAAATATTTTTGCTCTTTCATTATTTGTTCTATAAAGAATTCAGAAGCTTATCCTTGATTTTTATATTTTTTGTTAAATACTTTTTATCTTGAGTAAATATTTGGTCGATTTTGTCATTATATTTTGTCATTATATTATTTGGTTATTTTTCAACAAAATAGTGACCGAGAGGTTTTTAAATTAATGCAATTCATTGATTGAAAATTGTTGAATTTCTTTCTTGCTCTAATATAATGACAATGGGATGTGATGGGATGTGATGGGATGGGATGGGATGGGAGGATACAAGAATGTTGAAGGGTTTACATAGGGGAAAATAATTAAAATTAAAATTTTGGGAACGAGGAGGGGGGTGGAGGGGGGGTTATTTCGACTATAACAATATTTTAAACTGGTGTTTGTATATTTTTACCTGCATTGAAGGAATTGAAATCTTCAGTTTCTTCTCCGTCTGTTTCTCTTCCGGGGATCGTCGCCTTTTTTTCTCCGGCCGGAGCGGAGTTTCCGGCGTGCACTTTTTATCCGCTGGTTCGTTCCGCCTCCCCTCCTCATACGTCAGCTCCGCCTTCCGCAAGATATCTTTAAGTTCTCCGCCGGTCTCAAGGTCCTAATAAACGTACAAAATAAAATTTAAATAGGATTTAGTTTGCAAGATTATCTGATTTAATACTATTACTAAAAGTAAATTATTAATTTAGATCGTGTTAACCTCTAAATCAAGATTTAAGGAACAGAAAATAAAAAAAAATTAATTATTTAACAAAAATTTATGATGTTTAAGTTTAATATAAAAGTTTTCTTGCAGGGTTAGTACTATGTGTGAATTTTGGCCTTAAGGCTTGGAGATAATCCAATATAATGTGGGACGCTCTGTAGTTATTAGAATTATTGATATCATTTAAATCAAATTTTTAAAATTTACTTCTCATAAAACAATCTCCAAGAAAAGCAGAATCAAAACTTAAAACCAATTTAAAAGCGTTTCTAAGGTAAACTGCTGTTAAAACAGTGATATCAGACTTATTCATATAAATGACAAAATTCTAACAGTAAAAACTGTGATGTGAAAACGGGGGGATACTGCAAAGCGAGTGTGCACAGACGTGCAAACACCCTGCATCTATTTTCATATATTTTATTTTTAACACAAAATTCTTTCTAACTAATTGTTTAAAATCAAAAAAAAATTCTTTTCTTTAACATGTTGACATGATTGTCCCCCATAAGTTATTACTTTTAACATGTTTTAAGAAATAATTTTAGCAAAACAATTTGATTTTATAGTAAAAGGAATCTGTTCATTGACAAACATAATGTGATAATTAAAACTAAAAGCTTACTTAAAATTTGTCACAAGAAAAATTAAAAATTTGGTTGTGACAATATCTGTTAGACTTCTGTCTCTTTAATATTAACAAGAATTGTTTTCTCTTTTTAAAATAAACTTTTTGAACATTAAAATAATATTCGCGGAACAATTAGATCTTACTGAAAAAGAATGTGTTCATTGACAAATATAAAATTATAATTATAAAAAACGAAATAAAAAAGTTAAAAGCTTACTTTACAATCATCTCCAAGACGTGTTCTAAGATACGCCATATCTGTTACAGTTGGCTGGTTCCCAACCAGTTCCTCCAGAATAGGGTTTAGATGGGAATGATAGTGCTGAAAAAAATATATTCAGATTTTCATCCCAAGGGTTAAGACGATGAAAAAAGGAACTTTAAGGTTATCCAAAAGGGTAAAAAAAAGCTTGTAGGTTGATTGATCTCCGATTTTAAATTTTTGAAAATTCTTTAAAATTATCTCCCCCAGCCCCATCATGTCGGATAAAAGTTACTTCGAACCACAGATTTATTAACAGTTTTATCACCCCTAGAGGCAATGAATGCAAGGTGTGGATATGAGCCGTATTTGGCAATATGCTCAGGAGAAATCAACTTCTTATCAAAAGATAAAAAAAAAAACTATTGGACGATGCCCAAATATGATAAGTGACAAATTCTTAAAGGGCGCTTTTTAATCAGGTATAGTGAAGTAGTTGCAAATTAGTTTTCTTTAAATAGTTTTTTTTGTTAACGCATATTTTTAGTGATTGTCGACATTTTTCAAATGACCCTCCACCCACAATCACATCAGTACCCTTCGTCTGACAAAAAAAAAAGATATTTCGGGGTTTCACTCTAAAACTGAATGATTTACAATTGCAGTTCCTCTTTAGAAGTGAGATTTATGCAGCAAACAAAGAAATTTTTTTCTTCAAAAGTTGACAAAATGTAAAAACTACGGTAGCCTTTTTGTTGGGCTCATATTCAGGTTTACAGGGTCTCGGGCTTCCAACTATTTATATGGAGGGGGGAGGGGGGCACTTAAATGTTTATCGACAGTCAGTTTAAAAGCCCCCNCCATTGTTACCTTAACATGTTGAAGAAGAAGTTTATCATTCCTGAAGAGCTTGTTACAATTCACCAAGTTGCACCGGACACCTCTCTCTCCGTCCCACCCTACCAGGCCAGAACCACCAGGGAGGGACTGGGTTGCTGCTCCGCCCATCCTCGAGGACTGAGGAACAGTTTCAACCAACCTCCCACCAGTTTTAGGCGACATCTTGACAGCCTCGTGGGATTTTAGAGGATTTCTTGGAGGTTCTTTAGGGCTGGAGGTTACAGGAGGTTCGGGTTGGAGTACAGGACTAGACTCAGATACAGGTTCAATATTAGATTTAGCTCCAGGTTCCGTGCTAGGTTCAGCTCCGGGATCAGGGCTGGACAGGGGAGGAGCAGGATTAACCTGAGAGAGGATGATTCCTGGTTTCTGGGAGGATTTCTTTAATTCCTTCCAGATATTACGGATCTTCTTTAAAGGTGGATCCAGTAAAAAATCGAAATCCTCAACGTTTAGCTGAAGATTGTTTGACTCGAAATGACGACACAGCTCCTGAACAATAATGGGGGTTATTTAATCTATTCGGCACTATTTAGACAAACGCAAGGGAAAGTTTAAGCAGGGTTCACAGTGCTTAAGATCAGGATCCGGAAGATTTTGGCGTCCTGGATCCGGATCCGCAAAAATATGCGGATCCTCGGATCCGGATCCAAGGGGTAAAATATCAACCAAAAACTTCAAAAAAACAAACTTTTTTACTCCTAAACCCCAAATCTGAACTTTTGTAAAAAGAGAGATTATGAAACTTTCCTCATTTCTGAATGGTTCATCAAGTTTTCGGATAAAAATAAGCGAAAAAAATAAAACAAAAAATTTGAAAATTATTTTTTGTCAAAAAATTCAGTAAATCTTTAAGAAATGACCTGGATCCAGATCCGGATCCATTTTTTTTCCAGTGCGGATCCAGAATCCGGATCCGCATCAAAATTAAATGGATCCTAAGCACTGGTCCTTTCCCGTGGCTGTCAGAGTTCACCAAATGAACAGGTTTTAAGCAGACTTAACAGGCGTCGGATGACCCCTGTCGCGTCATTAATAGAAAGTTCTGAGGGGTGGGATTACCTGGGGCCAGAAACAACCCCGACAATTTTCTTAAAATAAATAAATAAAAAATACATACTACTTCTCCTCCAACCCCACGGCCCACAATTTAATAATATATACTCTTATCTCTGCTTAAAGGTCAAATATTGGCAAACTCCACACAGTATTTTAAAATGCAATAAATCTTTAAATATGTATAAAATTCGCCGACTAAATAATTAAAATTAACATCACAACAAAAAATGGCGACGCTGCATAAATACAAAGAATTCTAAATTTCACCTGTTTGGATTTGAAAGACTTTCCCTGTGGACTGAAGATTACGACCTCCCATTTGCCAGAGGTTAACACGTTTGTGCGCACACTCACCCTCTTCGTCCAGCCGGAGGGGAGCTTAGGCGCGCGCACAAGAATAGGTTTGGCGGGTCCTGGAATGTTAAAACCCTCCACCATGTTCTTTAGAAGCTGGTCGACGGGTAGAGAGAGGTCGAACTTGAGATAGGGATAGGAGGAGGACGACGTCTGGTCACGGTTGTTGTTCGAAGGGAGTTCGAGAACCTCTGTAGGACTAGGTGACGACGGCTTCGAAGACTCGACAAGAGGTTTAACAAGTTCAGGACTGGAATGAGAAGAAGGAAAGAGGTTGGCTGGGCTTGAAGACTCGAAATTCCTTTTGGATTTCTTCTGAGACAAAATTGAGGATTTCGACGGAATTTCTGAAATGCTCTCTTGGGATCCTTTAATGACCCTATTGGATTTTGACTTTGGAATCGACGGACTAATACCGAACTGACCGTTGACCGGTCTTTTCTTTCCCGTCGATTCCGGTTCTTCATCAGCAAACCGTTTCCGTTTCCGGCTCCGCTTTCCCAACCCTTCTGGAGTATCTTTGGTAAATTTACGGTGCCAGGTGGGGGAATTTTCCGGCTCAAGAATCGCTGACGGAAGATTTTCTTTTTCTGACGGTGTCCCCTCATGGCTGGTGTCCTGGGACTCCGACGGGAAGGATTCTTCCGGCTCCGAAAGGAGCGTTGAACCAGAGAGAACTCCTTTCTCCGATCTCGGAGAAAATCCGAACCCGTTCTCTGTGATCAGAGACAACGCATCCTCGGGGCTAGGTAGTTTGACCGGAGAAGGAGGTGTGTCAGGGGAAGGGTCAAGGGGCGTGGCTTCTTCCTGAAGATGGGAGGAGGGTGAGATATCACAGTATGTTGGTAAAACTGACTTAACGTCCTGAAAGAAAAATCAGATAATTTTGTAACCTAAAGATATCAAATTTCAATGCTTCGCATCCCCAAAAGCCGTGTTATACATTTTATTTGGTTTTCAGAGTTGTCTTAAATCTTAAAAATTTCGATTAAAATTTCGATTTTTTGCCATTTGTGAAAAAATACTTTTTTTTAGCGAGTTATGCTTAAAACTTCATAGTTGAAAAGTTTTACGAACGAAAAAGGAATATCTCAAAGTCTTGTGCCATATTTAAAATCTCATTGTTTAAACTAATATTTTTTTTTCCCCAGACCTTGTTCCAAATCATTAATAATAATTTTCTGTATTTGAATCAGGTACAACCCC